GCTAGCTCATTGTTCTGCAGTTCTTACTGAATCCCTGTCTTTCACGTTTCCTAGCAACTGACTCACATGTGGAAGATGCAGGAGTAAAGCCATCAGGGACTTGCTCTGCATCTCTTAAACAGCATCCGAGAAATGGTACCCAGACTGCATTGTTTCTCCTCATAGTTTCCACTAAAAGCTTGCCTTTTATGATTATTGGTTTCTAAAATAGGATCATATAAAAGATTATCATTAAAAATTGAGTAGTGATGATGAAATATTAAAGTCAAATTATTGGAAATTTTTATCAGTAGTAATATTTTTGAATAGTCATTGCTGTTTTTATATATCTAGAAATGTGGTGATACAGAGATTAAGTTGTTTTATATTTGAGATTTAAAATCTTTATTATAATATTATTCCTCTTAAATGTATAAGCACTCTAGAAATATAAAATAAGATGTATCTTAGTTTTGTTTTCCTTAAGAGAGAGCAATAAACCATAAACATATTATATGTATATATATGCATATATAACTGTACTCATATCTGTGAATTTTAAATATTTAGATCAGCAGATTGAAAAATGCTTTGTAAGCTAAGTGATAGATTTTATTTTGGTTAAGGAAAGGAAAATAACAATGACACAGCTCCAGTTTTTCTCTGAGTAATTCAGTTGTGTCAGTTTTAACACATTTGGAAAAGAGAAGCTACAAAATGAATTTGTACTTTTATGTGCTGTATTGCCATTTAATCTTTCTGCCTAATCTTGATGGTCCCAAATGTAAACTGTAATGACATATACCTGTTAATACTACCACTACTGAGAACATAGCTTGTTGAGCTTTTTGGGTTATAGGAATCTTAAGTGACGTCTCTTTGATTTTTAACTGTCACAGCCATTTTCCATAATTAACCCCAGGAAGGGGATGAAAAGGAAGAAAAAGAGTGACTGGGGAAAGTGGCAAAACAGAACAAGAGAAAAATAGAAAGAAAGATGAAAATGAGTGAAAGAAAATGGCTATGACCTGTAAAAGTTAGAGTGGGAGAATTCAGCCAACCTGCTACATCTTTCTCCCTTCTACCTCTACGGTAGTCGTATTCTGTTTTTCTCCTGCCCGGTGTTGAGTTTGCAAATCATGATAGCATCTACCAGGGGGAAATGCTGTGATCCATGGAATATTCAGAATGAAAAATAGAATAAGGGTAGAAAGCACAATGTCATCACTTGGGTCCTCATGTGTGTGCTCCCTTTAGAATATAGGCTGCTTTTTTGCCCCTTTGTCGTCTCCTGCTTTGGACCCCCACCCACTCACAGCATCAATTCAGAGCACATGAAGGCACCTCCCCTACTCCTCTCTTTTACCCCTACATCAGGCAGCCCTGCACAAGGTCACAGGTACCAGGGGAGAGCTCAGTGGTGGTATTTTGGATAAAGCTGTAATCCCTGCTACAGTGGCTTCTCTCTCCGTTGTAAATCAGCTTTAGGGCAATGATAGCATGCATCTTACTGAGATCTCAAGCATAATCGCAATCAAAGAAGAGGAACAAGGATGCCTGGAGAACATTCAGGCTCACCAAATCGGGATGTGTGAGCTATAAGGACAGGATGAGAGAGCTCTAAAAGCTTTTAATTTTATGTCAGAAACAAAATAACCTGACTACCGTCACCATTTCCTTTTTAAAAAGAACAAAAAGGTAGTAGAATATAGTCTCGAAATAAAGGACAGTAATTTCAAACAAAGAATATTAGGCAACTTTATACCAACACATGAAAAATTAATACAATGGTGAGTGGGACATATTTTTATTGCCCTCACTCGATACTGTGGATAGGTGGGGATCCAAAGCAGCAGAGGATAAAGGGGCGATTAAGTAGCCTGTATTCTAAAGAGAGCACCCATGTGGCAAGAGGGAGGTCTTCTTCACATCCCAAGCCACCCAATACAGATCAAGAAAATCACCAGTAAAGATGAGAGGGGACCCGCTTGACTGGGAGAAGCTGACATCCTGTTGCCTAGCTGGACATGCACTCACGAGGCGTCCTTGCTAATCTGCCTCCTGGGTCTACTTGAGTAGGAAGGAACACTGGAGCGTGATGGCAGCAGGAGAGGGGGGAATACGGAAGGTGGTGGGAGCAGAGCAGAGCACTGGAGTGGCCTGAACAATTGTCATGTGGCAGGGCTACGATGTCACCTGGAGCCCATTCAAGATGAAGGAAAAAGCTTTAACCCAGTTATAAGATTGAAGTTTTAAAGCAAATGAACTTGCCAAAATTGAGGAAAAGAATTTGAGAACTGCTGTCTGTGAGAAATTAGGGACAGTTCTACAAAGCACTGCTGTGTGAAGTAAGTAGAGAAAGACACAATCTTTCATGGTTGAACTCTGAGAAGCTAAGACTGTATAAGGAAACAGATAAAAAAAAACCTTACTTTTCTAAATTGGCTGCAAATCATAGGGAACTTCTCTGTGGACCAGCACAGGCCCACAGATTGATTTTTAGGAAAGACCTAATCTAGTCCAAGCCTTCATTTTACAGGAGGAAAATCAGTGTTTGGCACACACTTCAGGAGGAGGGATAGAGCTGGGTTGATGAAAGAAAGAGGAGACTTGAACCTTGATGCCTAGGGCTGAGAATCGAATACAATTGAGACTAATTCGAGTATGCGTTTGTGTGAGTTTGGAGGTTTGACAAGGTCTGACTAGAGCTTTTGTTGTAGAGATAGTTGGCGTTGCTTAAAGTTTCTAGCATAAAGTGCAGTATAGATCTTAATATATTGAAGTGTCCCAAGCACAGCTGCCACTAGGGGGCGATGGAAGCCCCCCCATGGTGTCACTTCCGCGACTGTAGCCCTCGCACAAGGGTTGCAGAAAAATCCCTTTGCCTGTCTCCAGCACTGTGTCATTAGAGCGCCCATTCCCCAGATACTGTGCTTGCCTGGTGTGTGCTGACATACCATTCGCAGAATATAGTACAGCTAGAAATTCAAGTATGCACACATCCTTCTTATACTTTTGATAATGTTGTTAAGTAGAAGAACTCTTACTCAGAGGAGAATGCATTGCTGGAACATGTGTTAGAAGTTAAAGTCCCTGTATAAACTATGTATTTATCTCTCACGTGAATCTTATTCATTCAATCATTGAGCATTTTTTGAGTACTCTGTGTGCTTGGCCCTCTTCCGTCCTCAGGGATACTGTGAAGAGATAGAGGCATTCCTGCTCTGTTAGAAGGAACTCACTTTCCAGTGGGAGGAAGATGATAAATAAACAAGTAAATAAATATTTGTAAGACTACTTCATATAATAAAAGGAAGTAATATTTGATAACTATGACTCCAGAATACATGGTGTTACTAGAGTAGTTATACCACAATAGAACCGTATATAATAGAAAGGAGTCCTAGACTTGGAATAATATTTTCTCCTCACTGGCTTCCTGTTAAAAATCAGAGCTATGGTCCTCTCAGAGAAAACTCCAGGAGAATAAAACTGTGATTTTGTGCCACCCCTCCCCCCCAAAAAAACCAGTGTTGAGGCAACCATAAACAGATCAATAAGAACACATTTCCATTATTTAGGAGCTTGATGTATTTTACAGTAATTTCTCATCTGTAAAATTTCCTGACACTAGTGGCAATTTTCTTTTTGTTTACCCAAGCCTTGATCCTCTTCTGGATCATGGGGATTAATTTCTTTACTGGGGATTCTCTCAACTAGAACATAAAAGTCTGCCTCCCTACAGTGTATTCTTATGCAACAAGACTTTGTAGAAAAAAAGTTGTGCATATGGCAATGATATTTTTAATCCTTTTCATGTCAGTAAAGCCTGAATCTTCTTCAAGACCTAGTTTCAGTGTCATCCGTTTTGTACGTCTTCTTCCCTGGAATTCTCCATAACCCAGCCGGAGCTAGCAAGGCATCCACCTTTGATTATTCATTCATTCAGAAAACGCATACCTGTTACATGCCAGGTACCATTTTGGGCACTGAGGATTTGGGAGTGATGAATGAAAGGAAGCCTGCTTCAAGTTTTATTTCTAGTGGGGAGAGGTGACCAGGAAACCCATAAACATATGAAGGTGGTGATAAAGGTTAGCAGGTAATGGTGATAAAAGGTAAAACTTAATGAGCAGATAAAGGATGGTTGATGATAGTGAGGCAAAAGGGTTGCACTTTTTTATAGGTTGGTCCAGGAAAGTCAGAGAGGTGGCATGTGTTCAGAAGACTAAAATAAGTGGCGAGTGAGCCACGTGGCTGTCTGAGCTAGTTGGCTACAGCGGAATGGCATGGAGAGTTTCAGGAGGTAAGGTCAGAAGAGAAGATTATGCAGGGACTGTAAGGACAGGGTTTTAGTCAAGAATGAGAAGGGAAGTCACTGAAGGTTTATGAGCAGAGGACTGACAGCAGACTTAGGTTTAAAAAGGCTAATCTGGCTCCTCCTGTGCTCAGAGTAGATAGAGTTAAACAATGGTGGAATCTGGCCCCTAAATTGGAGACTGTTGGAATAATTTGGGAAAGAGAGGCTGGTGGCCTAGGCCTAGGTAATTGCTATGGGGGTTGTGAGAAGAGGTGAGGTATAGAGTTAACAGTATTTACTGTTGCATTGGACGGGGGTATTAGAAGAAGAGGAATGAAAGATGACCCAAAGTTTTTTGACTTAAATACATAGAGATGATAAAAATCTTAAGCTTTGCCCCAATAAAGTTAACAACTTGGTTTCCTCTTTAGCAGCATTGCCTGCCTCCCTCCCTCCCTCCCTCCCTTCCTTCCTTCTTCTTTCCTAATCCCTTCCTTCCTTCCTACCTCCCTTTTTCCTCCCTCCCTTTTTCCTCCCTCCGTCCCTCCCTCCCTCCCTCCCTCCCTCCCACCCTCCCTTCCTTCCTTCCTTCCTTCCTTCCTTCCTTCCTTCCTTCCTTCCTTCCTTCCTTCTTTCCTAATCCCTTCCTCCCTCCAGCCCTCCCTTCTCCTTCCCTCCTTCCTTTCCTCCTTCTTTCCTTCCTTCCTTTTTTCCTTTTTTTAAATAAAAACAGGCAATTTTTTTGAAAGATAACTCACATACTACATAACATGTCTGACTAATAGATCTTCATTTCCACCAGTTAAAGTAATATAAATTAAAGCAATGCAATAGTTTCTTTAACAATTATGTTGTTGATGATTAAAATATTGATAATACCAATGTGCCAAAAGTATAATAAATGATTACCTTTATACATTATTACTTGGTGGCAGCTTATATTGGTACAATATTTCAAAGAGGCAATTTGGCAATATCTATTAAAATATGACATTTAAAAAACTTTTGTCCCAGCATTTTTGCATCTGGGAACCTGTTTAAAAGAACTATCCCTACATATATGTGAAGGTATGTACATCTAGAAGATTATTCCTTGCAATACTGTTTATAGCAGCAAAAAACTTGAAACCATCGAACATTTATCAATAGGGGATTCCCTAAGTTCAAAATACGGCAAAGAATTAATAGTGATGATTTTAACAGGTAGAATTGAAGGGTCAATTGGGGATTTCACTCTTTTTCTTATGTGCCTTTATTTTAATGTTTTACAATATTAAGTAATACTTTTACAGTAAGAAAAACAACTAAGATATTTTAAAAGTTATTTTTAGAAAAAGCTTCAAGATTATTTCAATAGAATAATACCAAATAAACACAAGCATATGACAGCATTATATTATAAAGATTAAACTGTAGTAATAAAGGATAATTCCAGGAATTCGATTATGTTTTATTATAAGAAAATGTATTTGTAATTTATCAAAAAGTGAAATAAAAAGTAAATTTGACCTTTGGGAGCTTTTCAGCTAACCTTTTGGTTTTAAGAAGAAACAGCATATAAATATATAAAGATCATGGTCTCAGATACCTTCTAAATGCTGTTAGATTACTAAATTCATAGTTGCTTATTTGAGTATCTCAAAGGATGCAGTAGCTATTAATCAAGAAAGACTTTGGGAGAAATAGGTTATTATTATTTGGGGGAAGGGAATCAGGAGTTTGTTTTTGACACATTTCATTTGAGATGTGTTTTAGACTTCCAAGTGAAGAAATTAAGTAGACAGCTGGTGAGCAAGTTTTCGGTTCAAGAGACAGGGCAACTTTGGAGATATGAATTTGGGAATCAGCAGTGTATAGATGTATCATGATCTTTATACATGTGTCAGTTACAGCACTTACCTCATTATTTTGTCATTGTTTGTTGACATATTTGTCTGTCTACATTAAAATCCTTGGGGGCAGAGACCACATTTTGTTTGACATTTTAATCTTTCATTCACGGCAACCTCGCCATGGTGTGAAGCTGTAGGTTTGTTTTCTTTGGATATGATTGACTGGAGCTATGATTAACTTGGGGCTTGGTCCAGGGAAAGCCATTTTTCTTAAAACCAAAAGGTTATAGCTTAAAAGCCGCCACAGGGGAAACCAGGTTGTTAAATTTATAGTTTATGATCAAAGCTTAAGATTTTATTATCTCTAGGTATTTAAATCTCACCCTCGATTGCTGATATCCTTGTGTCTCTAGGAAGTGTCATGCCTTTTGATAGCTCAGCTCAGTACATAGGCATAATCTAGGCACAAATGTGAGCTTAACCAAGACCAGGCTCATTGCCTTGTAGTAAATAAACCTCATGCCAGCTCAGACTGTTGACAAGCACTGCAGATACGCCTGAGATTTATTCTTTTTGGAATTGGTTGGTTTGATCAGTGTGGTCCACAGACTGGTTTCTGTCCATAAAGCCCCTCCCTGCCTTTTTTTTTTTTTTTTTTGTCTGCTAAGATACATTTTTTAAAAAATCTTTTTTTTTAAAAAGGGAGTCTGCTTAAATATGGGTTAAGTACAGAAATAGAGAGCTGACATATAGAAACTTTTATAGCAATCAGTCACAGTAATTTTATGTCTGTTGAATTTAGTTTTTACAATTGTTGTATTTTGTGTGCCTTTTATTATTTTCAGTAATTCATTTTATTGTATTTTACAAAGGTGTCAATCTGCAACAGATTGAACCTAAAAAGAATTGGTTCTTCCTCCATAGTTTGAGAAACAGTGCACTGGCTTATGGCATCAGGAAGCACATCATGGATTGAGGGCTCAGATAAATCACTGGTGTAGAGGTGGGTGAATGTGTAGTAAACAAGCATGGATCAGTATCTCCAGAAAATGTGTATGCTTTGAAAATAATTCTGCCAAATGTTTGTGTCCCTACCCCCCAATTCATACATTGAAATCCTAACTCCAAGGTTAGGTTAATCCTAACTCCCATTTCCCAATGACCCCATTCCTAATATTAATTCTAACCCAGAGGTTAGGATTTATATTAGGAGATGGGGCCTTTGGGGGGTGAGGGGTGATTAGCTCCTGGCAGAACCCTCTCAATTGGAACCCAGGCCTTTATTTTAAAAGCCTGAGAGAGATCTCTCCCCTCCCATGATGTGAGGACACAATTACATGATGCTGTCTGAACCAAGACACAGGCCCGAACTGCACAGTAAGCCTTCTGGAGCCTTGATTTTGGATTTCCCAGCCTCCAGAACTAAGTGTTTATTGTATGTAAGCCACTCAGGTTATGGTATTATAGCAGCTGAAATGGACTAAGACAAATTCTTTACCCCATTTTTGATGTAATGACTTATTGCTGAAAGTTTGACATGGTAGCATGAAAAGAGGTAAAGAACCACCTTTCTGCAGAGAACAGAAAAGGTTTGGAGTTTGATTTTTGTTGATTAAGCTGCTGTGATGTCAAGTCTGACATTTAATGGGCAGACTATACGGTATGTGAACACTGCTGGGTTTTGTAAACATTTCTTTTAGTATTCAAGCTTTAGATAGGTCTTTCTATATCAATATATTGTTCTATGCTTTCCCAAAAGCAACCTTCTGGTCTACAGCTTCTCCATGCACTGAATTCCTAACCTAATTTTTTAGCTTCTGAAATACTTTTATAACTTTCATTTCTCTTTTGATACTTCAAACAGAAGCTGTCTAGAGATACACTGAATAAATCATTTTAGTCAGTTCATTAATACTTTCATTAACCATTATTACCTCCCATGAATAATTTTATTTCACTTTTATTAAATAAGCGGAGGTAATATGTATCAGAGAATGCAAATAATGGCTAACTTGGTAATTTTAGAAAAGAGAAACAGGCAGATATAGGTGTAGAAATAAAGGGAAGCTAAAATAATTCTAACGAACTATCTGATACTAAGAAACAAACAGCATGAGGAGTAGAAAACAAAGCACTGGGAAGAGAGACAAAACCACAGACATCATGGTTTCCTATGATTTGGAGGCGGTTTTCCCTTTATTTTTCATTTTTTGTAATTTTCCAGATTCTGAACATTAACCATGTATTATTATAGTTGAAAATTGTTTGTGTATATCCCTCCCCCATACCTGTAAGTAACTTAAGTATAGGTAACAGAAGCAAGCTGGTGGGTTTGGTGTTCTAGTAATGATATTCTTGCTTTTGTGGAGCATAAAAATCATTGTCAAACTCTTCCTTGTTTGTGATTTCCCTGGTGACCTCCCATAGATTGCTTCGTCTTTGTAAAGATATATGACAGCAAATCTCTGCCAGTTAATGAGCATGTGAAAAGCTATCTATCTAAGGGCTATGATGACTTACAAAGTCATAACAATGTTGACAGAAATCTCTGAATCCCTGTAGGATAGTCTCCATTTTTCATCAACAAGGACATTAGCCACTTAAAAAATTAACTGAGAGAAACTGTTGACTACCTTTTAAGTAACGTCATCAAAAAAGTAAATGGCTTTGATTTTTTTTAAAGCAATTTTTGAAAATTATGAATAGAATATATTCACTGGATATTAGTAATGCAGAACTTCTGCATTAAACCTTCATAATTAATAGCAGTAATGCTTTTCTAAAATTTTACTTCATCTATTGTATATTACACAATATTGTATTCTAGTTTTAGTACCAGGAATTTATACTTAAATTGGGTAAAAACAAAAGTTAAATGAAAAACTTATTTCTATTTCCTTCTCTTTTATTAAACGCCTTATGGAAGATTACACTTACTGTTGCCCCGTTATAATATTTTATAAATACTTCATTAAAGAGGTAGTGTGACTCTGAAAGTACAAGTAGGTTTCTTAACCAATTAAGAGGAATTCTTCCATTCGGGGGAGTGGACTGTATTTCTGTGATGCTACCATTTGTTGCTCAGAAGACTTCTACTTTTATTAGAATTGCCTTGAGAGCCAGTTTTTGAGTCAAAACGTTTCATTCACTTATTCAACAAAAATTTATTGAAGGCTTCCTTCTGTTAGTTCTCTCTGGATGCCAGGTACACTGCAGCGAGAAAGCCACATGGTCACTGAGCTCACAGAGCTTACAGTGTAGTGGGGGAGACATTAGTGAAAACACATGTGAAATACACAGGCCTCTAAGAAAAGTTATAAAGATAACAACATAGGAGGGAAGTGGGCATTTAGGGAAGGTATCTCTGATAACGCCAGAGAAAGCATGAAGGCCATGAGCAAAGGCCCTGGATTGAGCCTCAACTTGGAACAGCTCATTATGTTTTAGGCATCTCCTTTTTTTTTTTTTTTTTTTTAAATCTCAAATGCTTTCACTCAACTGAATAAGCCATTTTATCAATAATGTTTGCCTCTGAATGACTGCCCAAAGCTACCTTGATTAGCAGAGGGTGAAGATTTGTGACCACTGGGGATATTCCGAGTGTGCAGCTGGCTTGAAGATAGTTCTCAAAGATTTTGTTAGACTTTGGGCTGTAACAGCACCAAGGAAATAATTTTGTAACCTGCCTCCCAAGATGACTTCGAAGGAAGCGCATTTATAAATTCTGATGTGTTTTTCAGCCCCATTATTTAATAACAATTCTTAATGTAATGAGAATAGAAAAAGACAGTGCCTCTTTTCAGAGAAACTCAGTCTACTGCATTTCCTTCATGAGAAAGTGAACACCGAGACAAAATAATCTCTGCAACAACCAACAATGTTCTGTTTGACTCATTTGCTAATTCAATGTCTGAAAGAGATCAGAGAAACAGTTTGATATGTGGGAACATTAGACACTTTGAGGACTTTGGGGTCAGATAAACTTTGACCTTACCACTCACTAGTTCTTTGATCTTTGAAAAGTTACTGAATCTCTCTGAGCCTTTGCTTGCTAAACTGCCCAGTGGGATTAATATTACAAACCTCTCAGGGAGCAGGTCAGATTAATCTATATAGAGATTGAATCTAGTAGGAACTAAATAAATGTGAGCTCATGCCCACCGTCCTCTTTCCAAACCCCTCATCCTTTTATCTTTTACCATAGGTGTCAAAGTCTATGAAATCACTTAGCTTAAAGTACATGTGTTCTCATGCTTTCCTTCCTGGTATGTTTTAAAGTTAATTTTTAGGAAAACATTTTAATACATTGCATAAGATGGCAATGCTAGGGTTAGAGCTAGAGAAGGACAACATCCTTGACTTTTTATACAGGTGGATTTCATTCTGTATCTTAACAATAAGGCCAGAAAGTGCCAAGAGATGTTAAGTATCCAAAAAAGTGGAACTATTGGTTTGGGTAGGTAGAACGTATACGATGAAAAGATCTTCTATAAAATATTTAATAAAGTAAGTCAGTTTGGTTCTCCACACACACAATACTGACATACTGATTATTAAAAACTGAAACATAGCCAGGAACAGCAATTTTGGACCTCTAATCCAAGCTACGTGGGAGGCTGAAGCAGGAAGGTTGCTTGAGGTCAGGTGTTCAAGACCAACCTGGGCAACAGTGAGACCCTAGTCTTTAAAAAAAAAAAAAAATGAAGATTTAAAAATTGAAACACTATTACAAGTGGGAAATACCAGAAGTAACATCATTAATGAAAATTATTTATTCTAATTTCAAATGAATCATGGAATTAGCAAATGTGTTCATATATGGTCCACTTCACCTAGAATGCATGTCTCTTGTTCTCAACTCTCAGGTCATGAAGTCAAGCCTTATGGCACTTATCATTGTCTACTTTGGTAAGTGCCATGTACCGTTGTGTTTCTTGATGTCAAGGACCATGTCTAATTTATCTTGAAGCCCACCATACAGAGTCCTGGTACTGATGGTGAATTGTATTTGACAGTAACTAAAAAAATGGTGGCCTATAGAGAGGTTAAGTAACTTGCCTGTTCTCACTAATTTTGGATGTTGTTGGTGGGGGCAGTTATGCCTTGAATTTGCTGTAGTGCTGTCATAATGGGTACTCCAGGTGCTTATCTAAGGGAGAGTTGTCTGTTTTCAGCCCTATTAGAAGACAAGAAGATGAACTCCTGAGCAGAGCTGACACCACATGACAATTGTGCCTCTGTGTTTTACGCATCTGAATTGTGATGTCACTGTTTTGATGCAGCAGTTATATTTGGACACTTAGCTTAGAATGGAGCACTCCTAGCCTGCTGTTTGTTAGTGCACATAGCTATTTAGAATCTTCAACTTTAAGAATACATTCTGAGTTTATTTACAGCTCAAGATTCATAGGCAAGTATACATTATTGAACATTTACATCCTTTGGCTCCTTAGAGTTGCTCCATCCATTTGTGACGCATATTAATAGAGAGTGAAATAAAAATAGTTGCATTTAAAGAGCTGCATCTGTTTTGTGCATGAGTCATCTGAAGTTTGGACAACTATTCTGATCAAATAAATAAATCTTCCTCCAGGCAGGTGGCTTACTTGAATACTTCTAACTTATTTTCAGTTTCCTCTGGGAAATCTTACTTTTAGCTGCAGTCTCTAAACTGTTCTATCTGCCAAGGATAAGCTGGCAATGGAAAGCTTCAATTAGAATTAATGGGGCTTGCCATGGAGAAGTTTAGAATATGTCTACTACCTTTTAGTGGCATGGCACAAATATGGCAAAAATTTAGGCACTGTCTAAGTCATCATTGAATAAACCTTATTAAATGAGCGTATTTTATGGGAATTCAGAATGTCTGAATTTAGATAGTCTTATAAGGATGCATGTAGTTAAAATATTTTGTTGAACTAATATTAGGAAATACAAATTTTTTTTCACTTCCCTCCTTTGGCATTATTTTCTGCCTATTCCATAGCAAATTAGCAAACTAAAATTAAGTCAGGTGGTGGGGAGTGGCTTTAAAATTAGGATTTAACAGAAATTAAGTGTATATTTTTTCTGAGTGAAATTTGCCCTTCAAATCTGTCTGTTGCATGTCTGTCTGTCTAAACTAAAAATATTTATTAAAAAGCATCACCATAATGAGTAGTAATTCAGCCCCTTCCAGGCCTAGCAAAAGCATTTGCTCATGTGACATTAAAATATTGAAAAGAAAGAATGCATGCCTTTTTAATATGAGTTTTAAGATATCTGCATGGAAAAAAATTTAGCTATAGAATCCGATTATAATACATAAAAGTGCCTTAAACACAAAACATTAGATTAATTCAAAATTTAAGGCATGTTGACAATAGAAATGAATTTTGCTTCTAAGTTTTCTGTGAAAAATTATGTAAAAGGCTTACAGAAAAATGTAAGGTATAAGCATGTAAGGGTTGCAGGATTATTATATTTGAAAATTCACAGTGTAAACCTTCTTGTATAGTTTATAGGCAATGGTATTCAGTGATATTCATCATTACCCCATGCCATTTGTCTAGAATTGTATGAATTACTACATGATATGATATTTTAATAATTTTAACATATCATAATTTTGTAGTTTTGCATTTAGAGTCTCAATGACGTGCTTCAGAAGTTGTAGAAGATACTACAGGGACTAAGAAAACTTTGGTAAACAATGTGATGCTTTAACAAAAATGCAGTCAAGTCCCTGTAAATGTCAGAACCCAGAGCCAGCAGCTACTGAGTGTATGCCGTGTCCAGGCAGTATGCATGCATCATCGTGGTTTGTGTCACCATCCTGTTTTATAAATGAGGACATTAAAAACAGGTTAGCAAGAACATGGGTTGAGGTCAGATACGGCCTGAGCCCTCTCTGTGCTGCTCATATGTATGTGGGTGACTTTGGACAAGCTGCTGAACTAGGATTGCAGGCAAATACATTGGTCAAGAGGAAGAGCTTTGGTGTAAGATTCTTGACTAAGTTCTAGTTATAGTACTTATCAGTTCTGGGATCTCTATAAATTTCATCTAAAACAGGAATGATAACACTAACCTCATATATTTGTTGTGAGAGTTAAAGTATGTAAATAAGTCAACATGGTTTGTGGAAAATAGCAAGTGCTGAAACGCTGTCAATGATGAAGATAGCG